CCGAGCAAGCACGCTTAACTTTGGAGTTCTTAGCGGATGAGCTCCCTTAAAAGGAGATGCATCTTGTTGGTATGAGTAGTACTATTAATCCGTTTTATATTAAATCTCAAGTGTTACAATCACCCCCACTTAGGATCGCAACGTCCTCGTTGCGCCTTTAAACCAATCTCAATCAAACCCCAGAATCTTTTCCCCTGCTAAGTGTCTGTCCGATATTCAACGGATCAGCACACTGTCGCAGGGTTGCTCTGATACCACCTGCAACACCCCGACCCCGCAGGACCCGGGGTAGTTACTCTGGACCTCTAGTACTGTCCCCACAAACCGCCACTAGGCTTTTCCGCGCACTTTGTCCTCACTCGTGCGCGCCCTGAGAAACTTCCCAGGGGGTCACCCATCCCAAGACTACTCCCGAGCAAGCACGCTTAACTTTGGAGTTCTTAGCGGATGAGCTCCCTTAAAAGGAGATGCATCTTGTTGGTATGAGTAGTACTATTAATCCGTTTTATATTAAATCTCAAGTGTTACAACAGACCAAAAACGAGATCTTCTCTTTTTGTCTTGCATTTTTGCACCTTCCTTCCACTTTTGGGGTTCACCAATGGTCCCTTGAATGATCTTGGATCTGTTTGAGCTTAAAATAAACCTAATCTAAACAAATTACAAATATTTTTACAAACTAAACTATTACACCAAAAGTGTGTAATTTCCAAAGTAACAATCAATCAAAACTAATTAAAAACACAAACATAAACATGGAAATTACATGAATGTCAACTCCCCCACACTTAGTTTCTTTACTCGACCTCGAGTAAAACCAAATGTTTATACAATGTTCATCAAAAGATCATAAATTCAAAGATAGCAAGAAACAAGGAAATAAGACCACCAAATATTGTAAATGAGTATACAAAACAACATTTCCTTGGATTTAAGGGTCTTCTATGTTCCTTATTCCTTCATTTTCTCTTCTTTTTCTTTTTCTTCTTCTTCTTCTTCTTCTTCTTCTTCTCCAAGAGATGATGTCCTGCAAAAACAAATTTTTTCTCTCATATCTCTCATTTTGCCTAGGAGCCTTTTCAGGTTTTCATCCTAGCATCTCTTTTCTTTTTCTTTTCTCACCACTCACTCATCATTTTTTTTTGTAAGCCCTTCTTGCTTAGATTGCCCATTTTTTGGGGTTTTCAACCTAACTAGCATTTCATTTCTTTTATTTTTTATTTTTTTTTAATATTTTTTTGTGAAGAAAATAATGCCAGTTACAAGGTATCAAACTTAAGTACGTACCAATGAGTGACTCCCCCTCACTGAGCTCGAAGCACTGTCCCTAGTGCTCGTCTTCGTCATGACCGGGCCGAAACGGACATCCTCGTACCATTGAATTGAACCCCTAGCAGTTTAGCTTTCTCCCTTATCTCTCTTCGGTGTCATTATTCCCTTTTGGAAGCTTGAAATTCGGATTTGAGGGTACAGGGTAGGGTTTTGGGTTTTTGTAGGAGGGGAAGATATGAGGATTTTTGGGTATTGGCTTGTAGAGGGGAGAAAGGGAAGTGTTTTGGTGGTGGTATGAGGGAATTTGGTTGAGTATTGATGGAGATATTGAAGAAAGAAGCTTGGGAATGGAGTTTGGGGGAGAGAAATTGAGAAAATTCGGGTTTGGAGAAGAAGTGGCTGATTTGGGGGTCTGATTCGGGTATAAGGCTCGTCTACCCAACCGGGTACCCCGACATACCCGATCGGGTATGCGTGTATTTGCTCTTGTTCCGGAGACCTTCCCGATCGAGTGGGGCTGATGCTAGACCGGGCTTTTTGCGCCGTAGGAATTCTCAATAAAACCTTTTAATATACCCGACCGGGCCAATAGTATACCCGATCGGGTATTACACCGTTTTGTTTTTTAAATGCTCCAGGGGTCGTGTGCCCGGTCGAGTATGGGGTATACTCGATCGGGCTTTTTGCTTCGAGGAAAATCAGATCAATTTATTAAAATATACCCGAACGGGTGAGGGGTGTTACCCGATCGGGTCCCTTTCCCTGGAGAATGGTTTTGTCTTTTTTTTAGTGCTTGGATTCGATCGGGTAGGTGATTATACCCGATTGAGGGTTTCCCCAATCCCTGAAAACATGAATTTTTTTTCTCCCCTTTTCTTTGGAGATTTTGTTCCCCCATTATCTCAAAGTTGACATTCAAAGTAAAACAACAAAAAGAATGAAAAAACTACATACCTTAGCTTGGGTTGCCTCCCAAGAAGCGCCTTAGTTAACGTCGCGGCAAGACGACACTGTTTTTTTTTTTTCAGTTTTATGTGGGAACATGAACATCCCTTTTCCCCTTCAGGGCCCGGTTTGACCATGTTTCATTTTTATTTTTCGACCTTTTCCAGTAAGGCTGAGCTTTCTTTCTTGCTACCACCTCAACCGCCGGTGGTTTATCTAGTGATTCCTCAATGATCAAAATTTACTCTTTAAAGGGAGAGTGATTTTTAATAGAATTATAAATGTTATATTCTATTTTCCTTCCATCAAGTTCCATAGTTAAACGTCCGCTAGAAACAACAATTGTTGAATTCCTAGTTCAACTTCATGTTTATCACTCTCCATTTCAACTACGTAAAAATCGGCAGGAAACACTAGATCACCTACCGAAACTAGTACATCTTCCACTACCCCTTTTGGAAAAATAGTTGATCTATCGGCCAGTTGAATTACGACACCAGTTTTATTTAAAGAGCCAAGGTTCAAAGATTTATAAAGATAATAGGGGATCACGTTAATTGATGCCCCTAAGTCTAACATGGCCCTAGAAATAGTGTCTCCTAGCTTGCACGGTATAGTGAACATGCCCGGGTCAGTACATTTTTTGGGAGTTTTCCTTGAAAACCCGCCGAAACATGTTCACTAATTTCAACTTTTTGTTTTCCCTTTGAGTGTTGTGTCCTCTTGATTGTGCATAATTCTTTTAAAAATTTAGCGAATCGAGGGACACTTTTAATCGAGTTAAGGAGTGGAACATTTACCTCACACTTGGAGAAGGTCTCATAGATATCTGCGTCTCTCCTTGGCTTCTTTGTTTCCCTCACCGCCTCAGGGAACGGGGCTACTGGTTCATACGATGAAAGTGGAGGTAGTTTTGCTTTTGTGATTCATTCCTCTGATTTAGCTTCCTCTTCACGATCAACTTTCTCAACCTTTTGATCTTCCTTCTCTAACTCTTTCAATGTCGTCCCACTTCTCAACATGATAGCATTCTCTAACCCGTTTGAGATGGGAGTTTACCCGAGTCTTTTGCTTCAAGGCGGTTCACAACATTTGAAATTTGGCTAACTTGAGTTTCCAAATTTTTTATGCTTGACTTTGTCTCATGTTGGAATTGTATCATGGTTTGTTGAAATTCTCCCATGTTTTGTTGCATGGTAACCATGTTTGAGGTCAAAGTTCGGATCATGTCATCAGTTGACATATTAGATTCAGAATTTGAACATTGGGTGTTGAAAGATGGTTGAGAAGATGAGTTGGCTTGTTGAGGGTTCCCATATCTCAAATTTGGATGATCCCTCAATCCCGGATTATAATAATTTGAGAAAGGATCATACCTTCTTTGTTGATGTCCTTGGAAACCGAGGGCGTTGACTTGCACTTCTTGGAGTGACGGACATGAATCAGTGGGGTGTCCGGTTGATGTGCAAATGCCACAAGCATTGACCTCCTGAGTTTTTGGTTTTAGAAGGAGTTCTTTTACCAAAGAAGTCAAGCCGGCAACTTGACTTTCTAGAGCGGTTGTGCTTGTTTCTGTAGCAAGAACTCTTCGAGTTGAGGATTTGCGGTTGAATTGCCGTGAGTTCTCAGCCAACTCCGAGATCAAACTTGTTGCTTGTGAGGGAGTTTTGTTAACAATGCCGCCTCCAGAAGCGGCATTCACCATTCTTCTATCATCATCAACAAGACCATCATAAAAGTATAAGATGAGGTCTTGTTCTGTGTATCCATGATAGGGGCAGCTAGCACATAACTTCTTAAATCGTTCCCAAAATTCATACAAGGACTCATCATCCTTTTGTTCAATGTTGCTTATTTGCTTCTTGAGAGATGATGAGATGGATGCAGGATAATACCTTCCAAGGAAGCATTTTTTCATAGCAGCCCATGTGTTGATACTTCCCGAAGGAAGATAGAAAAGCCAATCTTTTGCGGTGTCCTTCAAAGAGAATGGAAAGGCCCTCAGTTTAATTTGTTCCTCCGTGACACCGTTTGGGCACATGCTTGTGCAAACGATGTGGAACTCCGAAAGATGTTTGTTCGGGTCCTCTCCACTTAGCCCATGGAATGAAGGGAGGAGATGAATAAGCCCCGATTTGAGCTCAAATGTATTACCCTCATCAAATGTAGGGTAATACACAATGGTTGTTGGTTGAGGTTTGGAGCTGTGAGCTCCCTCAAGGTTCGTTTTTCGTGAGCCATGTGGAATGACTATTCGAATTCGCTAGAACTAGAGCTAGTGTTTGAGGATTCCTCCGAGGGTGTGTGCGGAGATAAATTTCTCAACCTCTCGAAGGCATGTTCTATTTCGGGATTTGTTTGGTAAGTAAGTTCATTTATAGAACGGGTTTTTACCATATACTCATGTAAGCTCAGAAATAGAAAAAGTAAGAACTCTTTATATTTTTTTTTTTTTTTTGAAATAAAAATAAAAAGAAAAATTATTGACTTTCCCCGGCAACGGCGCCAAATTTGACGTGCACTTTGTCGTGGTGTGCACTCAAAATAATTATCAATACAACAAATATACGTAGTATATTGAAGTAAGATTCGTATCCACAAGGAAAGGAATATTTCTCTTTTTAATAAACTAGTAACAAAAGGGGGGTTTATGTTTGATTTGATTTAATTAATTCTACACTAAGATTGTAACACCCCCATTTTCCCTCCCAAAATAATACTTGAAAGAATAGATTTATTGATAATAACTTGATTTATTCTTTCAAACAGATAAAAAGTTTTGCAGCGGAAATAACATTAATTGGGAAATGAGTGTTACCGCCACATCCGGTCATCTCTTAACCGAATGCACAGGCAATCACCAAACAAAGTAAAACAAGTGTTCAACATAATTGGATTGTTTATTTATGACTAGGTTTGACTAAGGCATCTCTAAACCGCTCTCGTGGTCATACAATCATCAGTCCACATAAGCATCATCACCTGCACAAATAAAGTGCAGAAAACAAAACAAAGAAAAGGGAACAAAAATTAGTTTTAGAGCTAAGTAAGTACTACCCAAGCCCGTAAAATAATCAGGTTTGGCTAAAAATAGTTTTTCATATAATACTATATAAAAATGACACACTCCACCAAAATCCTTTTCTCCTTGATATTTCTCAAAATCACTTCTTTAATAAAGTTCTCAACTTTTCTTTGAAAATACTATAGTAACTCTTCTCTTAGATATTCTCAAAATTCACTTCTTCTCTATCTTCCTAGTAATTTAAAAGGGCGGTGCTCAACACTCTGGTTGAGCCCGGTGGTTACGTTATTATGTACGGCCACCCCGGGACTTTTGCCAGTACCACAACTGCTAATGGAAACAAAACGACTACCTTAAGTGTGCACACCCCCTAAAAGAGATTCCAAGCCCTCCGAGTAGTAAGTCGTCACGGGTAATCGGGACTCAGTCTACCAACTACCCCACCTTTAGAATTCTTGAATGATTAGGGACTACTACTACTATAACTTCTTCTTAAAAGGGATCATAGATCCAAACGTCACTTCAAACTCAAACTGTACTTCTTAGTAGTAGCAGCCTTAATCACCCTCCACATTTATCCGGATGTGGAAAACCGACACCACAGATTTCCCCCGGGTGCTCACTTCTTATGAAAACGTAAATTTTATCTTGACTTTAGATATACTTCCAAAAAAAAATATTTCTCAATCTCTCTAAATAGTCTCAAAGGTATTTAAAAATATTTAATACCCAAAAGTACTTCGTTTGCACTTCTCAAATACCATAGATCTAATATCTCCTCAAAATCACATACACATAATTCAAAATTCACACTTAATCATGTAATGCATAATAAGCATATAATACGAGGAAATCATTTTGGATCGGCAGAGAAACTTACCTCGATTCACGACAAATCCTACTTGAAGCATTTATCTTGGTCTTCTCCAAATTCACCTTCTAAGATATTAAATTTCTAGAATCAGTAATTTATTCTATTTTTTGCTATCTTACCCAATTTTCCACCTTTCAGCAAATGGTTGACTAATAAGGTTGAGATCAATTGGTCCAGTTTTATTTATGTCTATCCACTTCCTATATTCCGTTAACCGGCCCAAGTAAACCACGTAGTATATCTTTAGTGAAGCCTTTTATTAATTTAATCATTCATTTGATAAGCCTATTAAATTAACAAAATACCCTAACCCTCTTAAATTAACAAAATAGCAAGACAAGAGTCATACGAAGTTTGTCTTCTTCGTTGATTGGCGAGGACAGCGACATTGTACTGCAGTCCTTCCTCCTTCGGTGACTGGTTCAGTTGACTGCTGCGACATTCAGCGGCAGCAGGTCCGGTGGCAGGAACTTCGGCTTTTCTTCTTCCTTCGGCATATGCGTGGGTACTTGGTTAGGAAGTGATTGAGTGAAGCGAAGACTGAAGCACATACGGAGTATATATGTATAGCCTTGTGTGAGTTGTGTCAAAGGTATTGGGTTTGTTTCCTTGCTGGTGCGTTGAATGGGTAAGGAATGGACAACTGGGCTACACGTATTATTACTCTATATTTGTTAGTGTGGGTGTTCATCTAAGTATGTATGTATGTATGATTATTATTACTATTCAGATGTATGATGAGAAGGGAAAACAAATGCACATGGAGGCATGCACGTATGTACATGGGCTATGTCGATGTGAATGGTTGGTGGGCATGTGTATGTGAGATACATTTGTCTCATATTATTATTACTAGGCACCACTTATATTATTGGTACAGCAAGCATATTATTTTAATATATAGTATGCATTATTATTAGACTTTAAAAGTCAACTCTTTCTACATTGTTGTTTTCGTATGGTATTTATAGTATATTTGTACCGATTTTATTTACTCATGTCTTCAATTTAAAATATGGCTTTTATTATTTATGTCATATCTATAGTTATCCCTTGTTATAAAAATGTCACTTTTATTATTGAAACATTTTTATCTGATTTAAAATGTCACCGATGTTAAAAAATTATCTGATTTCCTTAATTATTAAAATGTGACTTTCATAACATTTTATCTCACTATTAAAATTTATTTATTTTATTCTAATTTTTCGGGGTGTAACATTCTACCCTCCTTAAAAGATGCTTCGTCCCGAAGCATAAGTTAAGAAAATTATCCATATATAAAATTAACAGTTATCATGTGTTAGTTTATATTAAGGGTTTTTTACAAGAATATTACTAAAATAAAACATATATATTTACATAATTATGACTATTCATTACTACAATGTGGAGTTGTGGTAACTTATTCTCAAAACTTAAATATGAATTACTATGATTTCATTACTACTCTAGTCACTAGTCATATTTTTGTAAATCATCTTTATATTGGTCATATTTATGTAATTATTTCTTGTTTAAATCCTTTTTATTAAATTTTAGGAGTGTCACAAAGATGAATGACTTAAATGAGTTTAATTAATAGAGATGGAGACTTGGTTTTGCTTTTATCCACTTAATGAAATGTTCGTCGATGCCAGTTATATCTTTAACTATCTTCCTCTTGAATACTCAATCAAGGAGTATATCCAGTTCATCGAGGGTAGTTATTAATAACGAGACACGTTCATTAATAAAACTTACTACCGATTTAATATAGAACACGCGTCGTATATTAACCCGATAGTAACAATAAAATCAAGATGAAAACGATTGAGATTGATAACCTCAACACAAGCGGTTTATTGGTTTAATCAACATAATTAATTCCCCTTGGTTTATTAACCATGAAACACATGCATTAATAACCCAAATTTACTACCGTGAAACGATCGAACGATTAACAAGCGTATTCGTCGATCGATTCTAGTAATAATTAATATATGAAACAAAACTAGTTGATCCTTTAAGTAATGTTCAAAATATTAATATGAAATATGAATAGGAATTAATTAATACTCAAGGAAGAATATTAAAGAAGATGAATCCTACTATAGTTAATATCAAGATGTTAACTAATTGTCATCTTAGTAACACTCCCCAATATTAACGTAGAGGAAGAAATAACTATTACTATAACTAATGTGAAGATGTTAACTAATTGTCATCTTAGTAACACTCCCCAACATTGATATAGAAATAGTATTTAAAGGAAGAATTAATATTCAAGGAAAAAGATTAAAGAGAATAACTCACAACTTACAAATTCATTAAGTTTCAAAGTAGCAAAACCAAGATAGAAGAGTTTAGCTCCTCATTTGGAGACTAAACATGATAGAAAATATAAAGAAAACACTAATCTAAACTGAGCTAAAGAGTATATGTGAATTGGTGATCTTAATGTGAAGGAAATGGGGTGTATTTATAGCAATTTGGGGCATTCAGGGATGTGTACCCGATCGGGCTTTCAGCTCACTGGATCGGGTACATTATGCTCGAAGTTGGAAAATAGGGTCATACCCGACCGGGTCTGTCGGTCACCCCGATCGGGTATGACATCCGAACGTGGTCAAAATCTTCCCTGCATGTTGCTTTGTCTTCGGGTGTGATCCGATTCAATTTTTCAGCAAGGTACCCGATCGGGTATAGGTCATACCCGACCGGGTACAGACCAAAAACGAGATCTTCTCTTTTTGTCTTGCATTTTTGCACCTTCCTTCCACTTTTGGGGTTCACAAATGGTCCCTTGAATGATCTTGGACCTGTTTGAGCTCAGAATAAACCTAATCTAAACAAATTACAAATATTTTTACAAACTAAACTATTACACCAAAAGTGTGTAATTTCCAAAGTAACAATCAATCAAAACTAATTAAAAACACAAACATAAACATGGAAATTACATGAATGTCACTCATGCTTACTACCATCTCGTCCGTGTGTGGACTAGGTGAGCTGGTTGATCGGATGGGCCAAATGTGATGGTCTCAATCCTGCTTCTCTTCTGGGGGAGGGGTAGATATGGAGCCAGCATATAGTGCTCGTTCAAATCGTTTTCGTTCAGCTGGGGTATCCCCGGTCTCACTTTCTCCAAAAATAACCTTGATCTCCATTCAGGGTTTCTTCCCCTGAGCTCCCGAACCTTCACCTACCTCGTTCTTCTGGATGTGCACATCATTCTGATGTTTTGCCTCCTGTCGATCGTCCCTCCTCAAGCTATAAGGTCTCTTGTTCTGCCGACGTCCTGACATAGGCCCGTTTGGGTTATGGTTCACATCCTTTCCCAGGTGGCCCTGCTGAATGAGTTCCTTGATATTTAGAGTCCGTAACAATACTTGGTCGCATGCCCCTTCTATTTGTGATACTGACAATAAACATCATCATTCCCCATAAAGGCATTAGGGTCCGATGGGGGTGAAATGATATCCTTATTGTGATGATAGATGGAGGCAATTGAGAGGACGAGCGGAATAAAGCATTTCGTCTTGGGGACTAGCGCAACAACTGGGATCCGCCTAAGCCGATCGGCCAATTTCAGGGGTACAGGCGAGGCAGTTTTGTCTCAAACCATGATTTCTTCTTCTATAGCGGCGTACTTCTGGGCCATGTCTAGTACCTCAACGTAACGTAACTGGTACGCAATTCTTTCTTCAAATTTTGATACAACTCCCCGGTCTGGAGGGCATTGATAAAGAGAGTAATACCAGTGCATTCGGAGAGTCGTTCGACCTTCAAGGTTTCATCTCTTCATCTCGTCAAGAACGGGGTGAGAGACTCCTTTGGCCCTTGGCGAACACTAGTAAGGTAAATAAAGTGTCGCTCTGGGGTGGTGCTCGAGGCGAACTAAGCTATGAATAGCGTTGAAAGTTCGGCAAAGCTTCCAATGGAACTTGGTCGCAACTGACTAAACCACTCCTGAGCGGGGGCCCGGAGTGTGCTGAAGAACAATCTGCAAATAGCTTTGTCGGTGGCTCCCAAGAGCATAAGCCCACCTTGGCAACACATCAGGTATGCATGGGGATCTCCAACCCCGTTATACACCAGGCCGACCGGGGGCCTACAATCCCTTGGAATTTCGGCGTTCATGATATCCATCGTGAAAAGGGAAGTTATCCCAACACGAGGCTGAGGGGGCGTCCTGTTCTGTTGGCGGGTCAGTTCGTCAATCTGTCTTTGCATTGCGGCCAACACCGCATCCTTTGGTGTTTGGGCTGGCGTCACAGGGTCCACCATGTCCGGGACAAACTCCGTTCGGGCTGCAGCCATCTCGTGATGTCTTTGTATGAAACGACCATCGTCCCCCTCAACATAATGGAAACGTTAGCTTACGGGGTTTACCGCGAGAGTCACCTCCCTGAACTTTGCCCCATGCATTGGCACGAACAGTGTCTGGTCTGTGGCAGTATGCTGCCTGTGCCTGGGCGTATCTGCCCTTCTATGGCCTCCTCTACCCATCCGTGTGTGAACCGAGGAGCAGGATGACTCCGATTCATCCGTCAAATGACTGCATGCAGCAGATCGGAGAGGGGGGCATGCACTCATTCTCCGCCGTGTATATGGTGTGTTCTTCGTCCTGTTCATCCACCATGCTGTACATAGCCTCTGCTAACTCCCTCATCACTCGAGGGTCTCTTCTAGCTTCCCCGGGAATCAAGTTATTGATATCCCCGCCTCTTCCTTGCGTCCATTCGTTACTGGTATGCCCAGTAGTCGTCTAGGTGCATGTCCTCCTCCTGCTTTCCAGATCATCATAGGTGTCGTACACATGCTCAGATGAAATCCTAACCATTTTGCTGTCGAGTTGTGAAGTGCTACTGAGTAGAGTAAGTTGCTTGGAATTTTAGTTCAAGTTCCAACATACGGCGCCAGTGTTGAGGTTAATTCGTCTAGATCCAAAGGCCCAACACGGCCCTTTGAATATCAATTAAAAACTCTTTAATGAAAGGTAATCAGGAAAGGAAATCAATCTAATGTAATGATCCAATAACCCAATTGTATTAGTGTATAATTGTGTTGATTACAGAGAAATGGCCGAACGGGAGTACGGTCCATCTGCTAATACAAGATCTAGAATGATGTGTATTACTAGTGAGTATCAAAATGCTAACCCTTTATGATGGATGACATGGTCAACCCTGAGTGGATGGCCCCTTTGCCACTTGAGCACCCATACTCTAGCATTAAATGCACCACTTCCAAGGCTTCTTGATCAGCTCTTTGGGCCAATGTAATCACCAGCCATGAATGACGCTCCCTTCTGCAAAGTATGAAATCTAACCCGTTCGGGAATCACCGAAAACGGGTTATACCCAGTTGGCAAGAGCCCGTTCTGGAGTATACTGTTATGTCTAATATTCGTTGGGCTCTGCTACATCTTTTGGGCTTCCAGGATATTTTGGACCGGATTACTGAGCCGAACCCCAATATCCCAACACACTTCATTATTATTTTTTCGATAAAAATACTTCATTATTTAATTACACTCTATCCATCTAAAAAACTCTGACTATACTTATCATTTTTCAACATTTTGGATACTTATGTTAAGTGTTGGTCACAGTAATTTTTTAATGCATTTTAATTTATTGCTACTTCTGTCGCAAAAAAAAACATTGTTAGAAATTTGATCAATTATATATTTTAATTTGAAATTATTTATAAATTTAAAAATGATGTCAAAATATTACGTAGTATTTGTAAAAAAAAAAATTCATAGAAGTATAAAAATCAATAATTTTCATAATAGTATACTAATCAAAATCATGATCCAAATTTTATAAAATGGAAAAGTAGTATGGAGTATTAGTTAAACTAACAATAAATAAACATGTATTGTTCAATTTAGTTATAGATTTCCCCCCACTACAACTCTATAAGTGGTATATCCTACATTATTTGACCTATTTGAGCTTTTGCCCTCATTAACTCGCAACATTAACTTAATTACTTCCTTCATCCCATATAACTTTGCCAAGTTTGATCGATATGAGAAATAGTAAAATATAAATCATATGGTTGAGGTTTGTGTTGATAAAAGAAAAAAAAATTGATAAAATTCCATCAAAATTACTCTTGGAAGAGGTGAACGAAAATGTGACTTGGTAACTTTTAGTAACTATTATTGTGTTAAAATTTACTGTGATGTAGTGACTATTATGTAAACTTTGAACACAATTATAATCACCAAAAGTTACTAATCACATTTTTTCATATTACTTTTTTATTACTAATCAATTATGTAAACCTGAGGAGTGGGGTTCCTGTACGAAGATCCTTCACAGAAAAACCAAAAGGGTCAAAGTCAATGGACACTTGGTTATCGTTAGTGAATTTTCGTACAGAAATTAAATTTTTAACAATATGAGGGGCATGCAAAACATGACGTAATTCAAGTGGGGAAAATGAAGAAGGTAAATAGGTGTGACTGTGACCCGTCACCGGAATGGATGAACCATTACCGACTATGATACTACCTTTAGGACCCGTATTAATAAAAGACGAAAGAATACCTGCGTCCGAGGTCATGTGAGAAGTTGCCCCGGTGTCCATGTACCAATTGTCATCTGGGGGGTTGAGAGACATGGTATTCATAGAGGTCTGAAGATCCGTTGGCATAAAAGGTGGTGTGGGACCTGCAGGAAATGGGTAGCCATACCCGGCAGTAAGTGCATGTGGCCTTGGACCCAATAGACCGGCAGAAGAAGACCGGGGCGGAGTATTTTGGGCAGGGGCAGTAGGGTATGGACATGGGGGTGTGGGCCAGAACTGTTGCATCCAAGCAGCCCAAGGAGGGATGGCCCATGGAGATCCTGGATGTGGCGGCCATGCGGACTGATCATGCGGCCGGAAACCAGACTGTTTTCCGCGACCTTTGCCGCGTCCAGAATTGCTGCGACCTCCTCCGCGCGGACGGGGAGCAGGAGAAGGTGTAGGAGCAGATTTTGGGACGGTGGCAACAAGGGCCGAAGCTGAGGGTGGCTCGTGCTCAATGCTATGTGCTTGTCGGCCTTCTTCTAGGAGAAGCATGGATCGGGCATTTTCGAACGATGGAAGAGGGACCGTTTGCTGGATCATGGAAGCAACCGTTGTAAATGGTGCGGTGAGCCCGTTGACCAGTCGCAAAATCAGCCGATTATGTTCAACCGGAGCACCGACGTTGGCAAGATTGGTGGCAATGGTGCGGAGCTGCTGGCAGTATGCTGAAATAGAGGCAAAATTGGCCAAACGAACGTGAGAGAATTCGTCCTCAAGATGCACTGCGCGAGCGTGCTTATTATCCTGAAAGATGTTGGCCAATCGGGTCCATGCTTCCATGGCCGTAGAGTCCGGTTCAAGAATGTTAAGTAAGAGATCGGGGGAGATGGTGCCGTATATCCATTGGAGGACAACGGCGTCCAAGCGATCCCAGAGAAGAGGGTCGATGGAGTCGGTGGCACCGTCGGAGTCAGCGTCGGTGTCATCATCCTTGCCGGCGGAAGTGGTGGTGGGTATTTTCTTCGGAGGGATGATGTGATCCAAAACATCGTAAGCACGGGCTGTAATCTTAAAGAGTTCCGCCCAAGAAGAATATTGGACTTTTTCGGTGTCAAGGATGAGGGGAATTAAGTTTTTGATAGAGGTAACCGCAAGAGCGGGATGAAAAGAGCTTTTGGAAGCCATGGGAGAGGATCGAAGAAAGGAAAAAAATGGCTGATACCAAGTTGGAAGATGTAATATTCACCGTGAACATCAGTGATGTATTGATCGACTATAAATAGTCTATGTACACTTCGTATCCGATAACTATCGATCAGGTTATACAATTAATTGTAATGCGAAATACAAGATACGTAAAGCAACTAAACTACTTAGATAATATCGTACAACAATAATATAATAACAAGTGGCGTAATGGATAATGCACCAAACCCCCCTGTGATTTGGAAATTCGGCGCATTAGCCCCCTGTGATTTAAAAAATGCGTCAAACCCCCCTGTGTTTTAATTAATCATGCGCCAAATCCCTTATGTGAACAAATTCAATTGTCAAATAAAAGAAAAATGATTAACATTTTTATATGATTCAGAGATTTTGACATATTTATTTGTGTTGGGTTAAGGGCCCAAGCCGAGGTCCGGCCCACTAACCCATTTTGCCAGACGAGCGTCCAGCTAGAAACTAGGCCAGCCCACAGGCCCATGTTCTTTAAAGGATGGACGAACGTCTGGTGTTGGAGGACTCAGGCCCAGCGGCTCCTTCCGACGAGCGTCTATGCAGGGGCAAGGAGCAGAGCCACGGGCCACCAGGGATGGCGACGAACGTCCCCAGAGCAAGCCTGTAGTCATCGGAGAAAACCCAGTGCACATGGTGAGTATCTATCAAGGCCAGGAGACGAACAGCCAATATCCCTCAAGGGTCACTTGGAGCAATCCAACTCACTTCCCGGGTGGACGAACGTCCCCACTGATCCGGCGGGAAACCTAGATTCTGGCGGGAAGTGCATTTAATGCTAAAGATTTGGTAGTTGGGATACCAGCGGTCCACAGGCTGCCACGTCAGTACAGCCACCTGCCCATTGGCGGGTATAAATAGAAGCATTTATTTCATTGTAAAGGGTTGGCAACTTTCTATTCTTAGCATATTAGCTTCAGCATTCTTACTTGCAGCCTTTCTAAGTGCCTTGTAAGACGAACGGCCGACGTGCCTTATTAGCAAGTAGATTGTATTTAGGGGAGTTATTACGAAGTTAATAATACCTACTTACATTGCCTGCTATCACTTTTGTTTCCTGATCCATCTCATAGTTGTTAGGCTAGATATCCTTATACTTACTCCATTCGAAATCTTTGGGCTTACGTGTTGGGTCCAAGGGTTGAAGGAATAAACCTCAACACTGGCGCCGTCTGTGGGAAACTGAGCAAAAGGTTTCCAGAAACTCTCCCAAACAGCTACTAAGTCTACCTACAGCAAACACGATGTCAGGAAGCAACAACCAGCGTGATCTCTCCGAGCGTCTGGAATCAAGCCGCCGGAATCGCGGCCAGAACTCGGGACTATCCGCAACAATATGGACCTCCGGGGGAAACGGGGGTATCACTGACCTCATTCCTCTGGAGGCCAGGCAGGATCCTCGCCTCATGCGGGAACTCGCAGACACCATGCGTCGCTTGGCAGACGAGCGGGAGGCCCGAGACCAGGTGTACTCTGCAAGCACCCAGCGAACGCCCCTCTCTCCCATACGCCGCATGCAGTCGTATGACGATACGACAGGATCCAGCGACCACCGGCCCTCAGTCCACGAGCGGCTAGGTGGGGGTTCAGGCTCCCGTGGAACGGGAGGGCGAACCAGAGTCAGCATCGCTGCATCCAGGGCTCACACACCATCAGTCCCCCGCCAAATCCCGCGGGGAGACGAGACCCCGAGGATCAATACCGTTGGACGACGTTTCCAACGGCGAGGTGCGCAGATCTTTAGGCGGCCGCACGATGCTGTGGCCGCTCAGCAGAATGCCGTCCCCGAAGCCGCGCCCCCCTGTGTCCCCCGGAAGGGCCACACAGGATGCGAGGTTGGAGGCCATGGAAAGGCAGATAGCCGAGATGAATAGGCGGGCGGACGTTGGCTCGGCCACACCCTCTTTCTCTCTCACATCTCCCTTTACTCCACGGGTGATGAGCGTCGAAATTCCCCGAGACTGCAGGCCCCCGGGCAACCTGGTGTACAATGGGGCTGGCGATCCCAAGGCCCATCTGATAAGCTACCAAGGGAACCTATCCATGCTGGGAGCATCAGACGAGGCCATCTGCAGATTGTTCTTCAGCACCCTCAGGGGGCCGGCGCAAGAATGGTTCGGTCAGTTGAGGCCAGGCACCATCGACTCATACGAACAGCTCTCCCAGCAGTTCATGGCGCAGTTTGCTGCCAGCACCACCCCCAGGAAGGACGTCACGGCTCTCGCCCACATCAAACAAGGGCGGGACGAACCGCTGGCTAGGTTCCTGGTAAGGTGGAGGGACGAGGTCCTGCAGGTCGACGATCTGGACGAACGTCTGGCCACCAACATGTTCACCAGTGCGCTGGCCACAGGGGATCTATACCGGGACCTAAGGAGGAATCCCGGCACCAGCTACACCGAGGTTCTTGCTCGGGCCCAGAAGTATGCCTCCATTGAGGAGGAGATCAGGCAGCGGGACGGAGTTCCCGCGGCCCACCCACGAAAGATGGCGGACAGACTCGGGCCCGGGCCGGGACCCGGGCCCTCCCCCCCAAACAAAAAGAAGAGGACAGACGGGGCGATGGTCCCCTGGAAGGCTCCGTCCGGGGATACTCAAGCACGGCCGGACGACCGCTATGTCCCATTGGCCTATCCAGTGAGCCAAATCTTTGAGGCCATCAAGGACAAGGGCCTCCTAACGGAACCCCAGGATATGAATAAGCATATGGGGCACGACCAATCGGCCTACTGTGAATACCATCAGAGGACCGGCCACCTGACGGATAGTTGCAGCCAATTAAAGAAAGCGATCGACGAGCTGATCCGTCAGGGGTACCTGGGCGAGTTCACCCAGCTGCTGAACAAAAACAGCCAGCAGAAGCCGAACTCAAGGCACAAGACATGGCGCCGCGACGATCGGCGCGAGGCAGAACCTCAGGACGTGGATTATCGAAGTGCAGATAAACGTCCGGAGGGATCCCTCGGCCCGAAGGGCAAGAAGAAGAAATTGGAGATCAAGGTGATCTTCGGGGGCGCTGAGACAGGGGATACACCCGCCGAGCGGAAAAAATTTGAGAGGTCACTCTATGTGGGTTCCGTATCAGCACCCCCCACCAAGCGAAATAGAGTCGAGGCAATTACCTTCGGCCCCGCTGACCTGCCAATGTCACCGGCGCCGCACAGAGACGAGCTGGTGATCAGCATGGACGTGAACGATGCTATCGTCCGTCGCGTCCTCGTTGATACCGGAAGCAGTGTGAACGTCCTCTACTGGGAGGCTTTCGAGGGGATGAGGCTCCGGAAGGACATGCTGCACCCCCTACGCACCCCGCTGTCCGGCTTCACCGGGGATTGCATTGACGCTGAGGGCACCATCATTTTACCGGTGGAGGTCGGCGACGGCCCTCACACTGCCCGGATCAGCATGACGTTCGTCGTGGTCCGCCTAAAGTGCGCCCACAACGCCATTTTAGGCCGACCCGGCTTGGAAGACTTGGGGGCCATATGCTCCGTACGACATTCATGCATCAAATTCCCCACCGACACTGGAGTGGGGGTGGCACGTACGGACCCACATATGGCCAGGGCCTGCTACACGAAGGCCATGGAGAAGCTCAACGAGCGGGAGGCTCGGGTCAACAGCATCTCCGAAAAGGCCAAACAGGCCGACTTGGACGCTCATCTGGAACCAGCAACTCTGCTGGAGGAAATTGAACTCGACAATCCGATGGACAGGAAGGTGTCCATTGGTGCGGATCTAGAGCCGGAAATCAGGGCAGGGGTCATAGCCGTCCTCCGGAGGTTCAGGATCTTGTTCGCCAGAGGGCCGGAGGACATGCCGGGCATCGACCCCAACCTCATATGCCATAAACTCGCCGTGCGGCCGGATGCCAAGCCTATACAACAGAAGAAGAGATATATGGCGGCCGACCGACGCGATTTCATCAGGAAGGAAACAGCAACTCTCCTCAGCATCAAACATATCCGGCCAGTCATCCACGTGGAGTGGTTGGCCAACGTGGTTCTAGCCCCGAAGGGCGACACTTGGCGGATGTGCGTCGATTACTCGGACCTCAACAAAGCTTGTCCGATGGACCCTTACCCTGTCCCGAGGATCGACCTGCTGGTGGATGAGACAGCAGGCTGCGAGCTGCTCAGCTTCATGGACGCATTCAGGGGCTACCATCAGGTGTTCATGCACCCCGATGATGCCGAAAAAACGGCGTTCGTTACGGCGGACGGCGTGTACTGCTACATCGTCATGCCTTTCGGCCTGAGGAACGCCATGGCTACTTTTCAGAGGATGATTGGGATGTTGTTCAAGGACGTACTTGGAAAGACAATGGAAGCTTACGTGGATGACATCCTGATCAAAAGCAAGAAAAAGGAGGACCATGTCCAGGACATGGAGAGGGTCTTCAGCATCATGGACAAGGCCAGCATGAGGCTCAATCCGAAGAAATGCGCCTTCGCCGTCAGGGGCGGCAAGTTCCTCGGCTACATGATGAGCGAGCGGGGGATCGAGCCTAACCCGGAGAAGGTGAAGGCGATTATGGACATGGAAGCCCCAAAGAACCTAAAAGACGTGCAGCGGCTCACCGGGCGTCTGGCGGCCCTGAGCAGATTCTTATCCAAGCTGGCTGATAAGGCGATTCCCTTTTTTCAGATCATGAAGAAGGCCAATCCCTTTCGGTGGACCCCGGAGTGCCAGACTGCTTTCGAAGATTTCAAGGTATATCTCTCCTCTCCGCTCGTCCTCACCAAGGCAGATCCCGGGGAGAGATTATACATGTACTTGGCAGTAGCCGATCTGGCCGTAAGTGCCGTGCTGCTGAAAGAATCTGAAGGTATCCAGCGGCCAATATACTTTGTAAGTAAGGCGCTGAACGGTCCCGAGACGAGGTACACACTGATGGAAAAGACGATCCTCGCCCTGATTGCATCCATCAAGCGCCTGGCACCGTATTTCCAAGCACACCCGGTGACTATCTACACGACGCAGCCCCTCGCCACAGTCCTCAGG